GCGTGGATTATTGGATTGCTAGGTTGTTAGTGATTCGATGTAGAACGGTCTACGATGTTGAATGATTGGTTATTGGTTTATGAAGTATTATTTAATGGTTTATTTGCATAATTGATTTCCGCTGAATGTTTGCTGTATTGAGAATTTTAGCATGTTGAGGGTTAGCATTTATGGGGATGCTAATTCGGTGCTAATTTATATATATATAAAAAAACGGATCGGGTTTTTTCAAATATAGACATGTTCTTCATAAGTGATCTAAGTAATCATCACAAGCGACCTAGGTAATCGTGATGATGATCTGGATCGTTATAGCGATCTCTAAACCTCAAAAACGACATAGATAATTGGAATAAGTGATCTTTGGATTGTGATAAACGATCTCGAGACCTTAAAAGCGACCTTGGTGGTCACTCATCGCTTAGTCATGATAAACTATATGGAGAGAAATTCCTCTCTTCTGTTTCTATTTATTTGGACATCGTACGTCACTCAAGTTTATAATCAGCTGCGTTCGACACACCTTTGCGTTAATATCGCTATTGGTTTAGTAGTCATCAAGGTTCTTGCCCATTACTTTGTAATGTCGTATTGTTTAGAGGTATTACCTCTAGTTTTTATCTCGTAACGACCATTTTCATAATGTATTGAGAATATGCCTCTTTACTTAGTTAACATGTTTAGCGGTCGTACCTCGTGAATTCAAGTTGTAGTGATTATTGTGAACACTTTTTGGGGAGGTTATACCTCCTAAATTATCAAGTCGTTGTGATTTATCACAAGTAGTTGGAGATTACTCTTTCTGACCTTATCATGTAGTGGCAATCATTATTATTCATTTGGGAGGTTAACCTCTTGATTTGTCAAGTTATTATTGTTGACACAACCTGTTGAGAAAGTGTCTCTTGATTTGTTATGTAGTGACTTTCATCACAAACTCTCGGAGGATGTACCTCTAAATTTACATGAAGGTTGTACCTCGTGGTTTTGTTATGTAATGACTATCGTCATAGCTTCATGAGGACGTGCCTCTTTGTTTGTCTGGTATTGACTTATGTCATAACCTAATGAGGATGTACCTCATGGTTTTTGTCAGGTATTGACTTTCTTCATAACTTTATGATGATGTATCTCTTGGTTTTTGTCAGGTATTGACTTTCATCATAATTTTATGAGGATGTACTTAGACATTGTAATACAATTCAATTACAAGTTTATTTCGTTGATTAATAAAGATATACTTCTCTTCATCATTCGTAGAACTGTCTACTTGCGAACCTGGTTAAATTTGCCCAAACAGTTTTCACAGACAATGAAGGAGATATGATACTTGTAGGAGACAATCCATGGACGTGAGTTTTCTCTTATTGAAAGATTGGTTAAATGTGGAGAAATAGTAATGTTAATATTTGATTTTGGATTTATGTGTTGTGAGTTTTGAAATATAGCAAAAAGAGGTCATGAAAATGAAGTCATGGAACAAATTCTATGTAGTTGATTTCTTTTTAGCATTCTCTCACCTACCACAAAACAAATATTTTATTATATAACTAGAAAATTTTCTCTCTATTTAGAGTTTTCACATCTATAGACAAAATTGACAATGCATATATCCCATATAAGGATGGTTGGATAGCTCGGCTGTATGAAAACTATATATTCCAATCCCATATTATCAGATAGACTAGCCTCGTAAAACCATATATCCTAATCTAACACAGGCTGGTCATCTTGACACGATAGATTATCATGTCTTGTAAGATTTTTTTTTTTCAAATGAAAACAATGAAATATCATATCACTTTATTAGTTAAATGATTTACATCTCTTATAAATAACGCATTGACTCAATTAATCTACCACTTTTATTGCATACTAGCGTAGTACCCGCACAGGATAGCATTTATATAGATCTTTTCTTTTATTTAATATCCATATTTATTATTTTTAATTATCTCAGATGTTTTTATCTGTATATAATTTTTATTAACGTTTTAGGAAATATTTAAAATTATTTATAAACATTATACCATTATACCATCAAATATTTTGAAAATTAAAAGATACTAAATCCTAACTGGGAGACTAAACCCTCACAAATGTACATAAACATTGAAAACAATACATCGGTCCTAAATCCTATACTCTAGCATCAAAGCCTAAATTAAAAAAATTTGACATTTTGAGTAACCTTATGTCATTAATTTCTTTAATTAGGGATGTTAAATCCTAGAATAAAGGTCTAAACTCTTACTATGCACTTTTGATGGTTTACAAAAAAATGCATAGGATGTAGGAAAATGATTCAAGTCATTCATTTGTTCACGGCCTTTCCTCTGCCAGTAATAAGATAACATCCACATTATATCATTGCATAAAACAACTTGATTGGTGAGCTTATATGTAATATTGATTGGTGAGCTTATATGTAATAAATAAAGAGTTTTGAAAATTCATATGAAACCCCATAATTATATGAAATTTGTCGAAACACTAATATGCAAATTGGGTTTCAAACGTGGCAATACTATGTAAGTTTCAATACATATCAGACTTGGACATTCCTTCTAAATCCGAATTGATTTCTTACTCCGATTGGATTTCTTATCTATATCTAGCGTAAAAAAATATTCAAATAGTCCAACCACTTATGTCTTTAATATACACTAATGTTGAATAATTGCTTCGTTTTACATTTGAAAGTCGACTTATGTACATCCGTCTATAAAAGA